AAGAATAAGCCATGTGTCAGGGCAAGTATATCTGTAAAAGGACAATATGAATAAAGACATAAGGAATATCTATCTATCTATCTATCTATCTATCTATGTCAGTCTGTTCATTATCTATCTATCTGGCTAGCTGGTACCCTTCGTCCTTTGAAGGACTTTATCAAGGCAAATGTACCGATTTTATTTAGTAACAAGTATTTATGAAAAATAATTAAAAGAGAATGGTTATATACATAACCTCATTTTATTCAAAACATATAACACATTAATCCTAATCCAAAATAATTTAAATACTAATTTACACATACATACAGGACTGGACAGCACAAGCAGGGTCTTGGTCTGATCTGATTCTAGGTAAAAATAGAGCATGGTAGTGAATATTGCATTAACAATTTATTTTAATTTTTTTTTAGAATAACAATTATTTTTCCAGATACTATTTAACCCATAACTGGGGGGGAGATGGATTCATACCTTTCGGAAAGGTATTTGTACATGAATGTAAGAACTCAACTACAATTTGAACTTGGTTCTCCAATTTCTTATTCCAAGCCACCATTCATTCATTAATGCTACCCACATATCCACTCACCAGATTCACAAACCAACACTTTAAGCCACTAGGTTATTGACCCATGCTGATGGTTGGAGAGTACAATGACCAAAACGTGAAGGCAAAGAAGATGGGAACAATAGTCCACTTGTAAATAATGAAAATAATTAATAACACACGTTTAAAAATATATAATTTTATGGACAGGATAAATGGCAATAAAAAACATGTGTTCTTGTTTTACTGTTTGGTTAAATTTCTTTACATATCAAACCAGACTCACTAAATTATAATCAATCTTTCCAAGGATATGGCTATATGATACAATTCAATGGCAATTGTATTGACCCCAATTGTCTCATTTTGAGGTACACGGAAACAAAAGCAGAATAAACAGAAGCAAGAACTTTACTGATGGTTAACTTAAACAGTGAGTGCTGCCTGTCACCAGCATTTTTGAAAAGTGTCAAATCGGTTGCTATTGTTATGAGTAAGCAATGATGAGGACATCTCAAAACAATGATGTTTCTGATTTTTTGTCAATTCAGGTTAAATCTGTTTAGTTTTAACCTCTCCTCTGACAAGTGCCAAGAGGTAGTCCAAGGAGAAACTGTGAAGCTTGCAATAAGGACTTGATTGTTGCTTGATAGTTAAAGATTTTTTTTTTTTTTTTGACAGCTAGTTGTTTTGTTTTATACTTGATGGAACCCGACAAGGTTGTCGTCTAGGATTTTTCTGATGTTCTCAACATAAATATTTGCCTCTTTTTTGGTGTTTGGTGGCTGAAAATATAGGTCAGACAGGGTGACAGACTAACTTTTTTCACCCTCGTCCTGAAATCGTCTCCACCTCAAAAAAACAACTTTAATCATCTCAAAAAATTCCAGACCATCCCCTAATCAAATTTTTTTTTAAACTTTATCATTTATAGTTGTTAGTACCATAACAAAAAAATTAAAATGTTTAAAATATAAATTTTTAAAAAGCTAAGATATCAATGTTTTAAAAATTATTAAATATATGAGCAAATTAAATAAAGTTAATAAAAATCACATCTTTATTTAAGCATCTCAATTATCATTATAATTTTATACAGAAATGCTATCTTTTAAATTAATTTCCAAGAAATGTTTATCAAACTTTATGAACTAGAATTATTTTGCAACATGCTGATGCTTGTTGAAGTTATTGTGAACGTTATTTCTTGAGATTTTTTTTTTTTTTTTTTTTTTATCATTATACCCCAAGCAAGGCAGAAATACCACTAGCATGCAAAAAGGTACATGGAGTGAAAGTGAGAGAAAATATTGAGTATAGGGAAGATTGAGGAGAGGACAAAAGATGAACGGGATTCAAGAAGACAGATGATGGTGATTGATGTTGCATTTAAATTTTGTTAATCATTTCACCCCAAGCAAGGTGGGAATGCCACTAGTACGCAGGGTGTTACAGGGGGTGAAAGTGAGAGAATAGACTGAATATAGGGAGGATTTAAGAAAGGACAAAAGATGAACAGGATTCTAGAAGATGGCAATTGATGTTGAATCTAAATTTTTGAAGATTGCCGTTATCAGGGAAGCAAGTAGACAGAAGGGATTTCCACTGGTGGGAAGTGCGAGAAACAAAACTGTTGGAGTTTAGAAGTGGCAGCTGCATTTAGCTATTTCAACAGCAAAAGGATGGGATGTAGATGCCAATCTAGTAGTATGCTGAACTCTACATTTCATTCAATTTCACAAACCAATTGATGAAATTTGAATAAGCTGATTTGTTTGTCAAAATACTTTGACAAAAATCCTACTTCATGCTTTAATAATTTCTTTAATTTTATAGAACTTTATGGTAAACAATATTTTTTTAAGAAAATTTACTTTTTTTCCTTTTTAACAGCAAAGAATAAATTCTGAGGATTTCTTACTCTTGAGCATACAACTGGCCATGCATAAATATTTCTTTATGGAGCCAAATTCCAACATTCAGTCTTATTTCATTTGTTTCTTCAGCAGAGTAGTAACAAATATATCTTATTTGCATTCATTCTATTGTCCTCAGCTCTGTTATTATCATTATAATGTTTCAGCTGTTATGTTCTCTGTCTGTCAGGTTTTTGTCATTCCGAGTAATCTACAGGGTTTTGAACTGAACCCATTATTTAATCCATGGGGTAGATTCTGCTATGTTTAGAGGTATCTTTTCTCACTACTCTGTTATTGCTCGCTCTTTTTCCATTGAGTTTTTCTGTACTACCTAACCTAGGGATTGAACCCACAAATACTATCTCACCAATTCATGAACCAAAACTTTAATTCAATTATGGAACAATCCTGAGTTGAGGACCTTGAGACTTGAACCTAATGTTCTTCTATCCTGCCTACTGCTGCTGATGATGATTCTACTGCTGTCACACTTGATTGCATTCAAACATACTTCAATTGTCTGGCCATTATTCTAATGTATCTGTTCCCAAACATTTCTGATTATGGAACACTTTAGAACAAAACAAAGTATTTGGGCACATATTGTAAATAAACATTGTAAAGCCAACTACAAAACTGTGGGCATGTTATACTACAGACAATTACTTCAGACTGTCTTCATGTATGTGATAAAGTGTTTTCACCAAATGTAGTTGACTGTTGTATCTGAACTTTATCACAAATATATTCAAAAGAGATATTTATATATATTCAGTCAGTCATGTGCCATGCGTGATATACACTTATGCGATCATATATCTTTCAATACATGACTGATGAAGCAGTTTTTTTGTAGGTTGCCATTTCTTTCTGCAGTAGACCAGTTGCCATCCAAGGCTATAGAACCCAGTCTGCCCTGCTATTTACCCATAGTTGGGGGGGAGGGGGTTTAGAAGAAGATTCATACCTTTCCCAAGGGTATTAGCAAGTGAATGTAATGGATTCAACTGGAATTAGTATAGCATAAAGTAGAAATATAGATGTACCTTTGCTATAAATACTTTCATGGTAATTGTTCTGATGAGCCTTCCTCTATGGTATCTAGACTATGAATTTAAGTACAGTACTAGTTTGACAGCAAGGTCCCATCATTTTACTGTTGGAATGTCTTGATGTAACTGTAAGTTCTATGCTAACAGTTTCTTCTCTTATACTTCTTGCTTGTGGAACTCTCTTCTGAGTTCTTGCTTCCCAGTCAGCTTTGATCTTCAAAAATTTAAATTTAATGCCCATCATTATCTACTGTCTTCTTAATGCCTTTTTTTTTTTATTGTTCTTTCTCCTTTATAGTATTTTCTCATATTCTCTAACACTCAGTAATCCCTTGTGTCTTAGTGGTTTTTTGCCTTGTTTGGAGTGAAATGATTAATAAATAATAAAATTAGAAGTACAGAAAAAGATGAATGTACTCATTTCTTTATATGTTAAATGGAGCATGGTAGGCTCTCAGCTCGGACTGTTTTCATGTACTTGTCGTACATCCTTTAACCTAACAAGCAATTCATTTTTATGCCAACAGATTCCTTTTAACTGAGGATTATATAAAGGCCAATGTTCATAAAAAAATTAAGGTATCATGTTATCTTTCGGTAAGAAAATTATGATGATTCAAACAAAAGTTTAAAATCAATGAAATACAAATCTAAAATATTTTTATGGCAATTGTTCTAAGCTTTCCTCTTTGTTACCTCAACTTCATATTTTAAGCATAGTACTAGATTGGCAATTAGGTCTCATTATGAACTGTTTTAAGTTCTATTCTAATAGTTTCTTCTCACACACTTCTTGCCTATGGAACTCTCTTCCAGCTTTTTGCCCTCCTGTCAACTACAATCTTAAAAAATTTAAATGCAACATCAAGTGGCATCTTCTGTCTCTTTAAATGTTGCTCTTTTTATTATCCTTTTCCTCAGTAACATTTTCTCAGTTTCTTTCTCTCTATTGTCTTTCATCCTCAATAATCCCTTGTGTCTTGGTGGCTTTATCACCCTTACTTAGGACAGGGGGAGGAGGTGAAATGATTTAAAAAAAAACGCCATAATTAGAACCAAGCCTCTTCTCCCATTGTAGCTGATAGTTCATATATGAACTTTATTATGAATTTAAGTTCATATTTTTTATATTTTTAAATATAATCATGCTCTTTCACAGCACACCTACCGTATATACTCGAGTATAGTGTGAGTTTTTTTCATGATCAGTTTTTGTAAAAAAAAAAAAATTAAAAAAAATAAAAATAGGGTGGGGTTGCACTATACATACTCATGCATTTTCAGTGACCAGTTGTGCTATACACAGGTAAATCTTTTTCTCGATGCAGAGAGATTAAAAATCATTAAAAAAAAAAAAATTAAGTCACACTATGCATGAATTTGGCTTATACATGAGTATATACAGTAATTTAATCTTTAGGAACAGAGTTTGGGGAAAAACTGATTTAATAATTTATGTGTTGTTTCTAATTGCAGTAATGATGACAATAACCCAAGAGGACTATGAAACACAGTACTTGCCACAATTGATGGATGCCATCAATCAGCTGTTAACAATCACACCTGGCACCTACATCCCTATTTCCTATGAACAGATGTACAGGTATGGGCCACTTTTCTATTCCTGTTGATTTTATAGCACACTGGCTGTCTAAAAGATAATTGTTCAAAACCGTCTCTTTTAATAAGTTGTTTGCATGTCATTATGAAAACACTTTATTGAAATTAAACATTTAATCCGTGATAGTTTCTTCTGTCATAATCTTAGCTAAATTGTCAGTATTTTGTTCATAAACTAGGTTTACTGCCATATTACATTGAAATGCTGGTTCTTATATGACCACCAAAGTTAAGCAACACTGAGCCTGGTCAGTACCTAGATAGGTGACCACAAATATAAAATGCTGTAACCTTGGATCTGTGGGTGGTTTAATGGATAATGGCAGAGAATTGGAAATTGGAGAGTCAGGTTTGTTATATTCACTTGTGCACAAATACATTTGGGAAAGGTATGAATCCTCCTCTTCTTCCCCCAGCTATGGGTTAATTAGTAGGACTTGTAAAAGTCATTATCTCCTCCAAATTCTTACAGGCTAAAAATATTTTCTGGCTTTAAATAACCTGAAAAAAAAGTTGATAAACCATAAAAAACAACAAATCAATCTGTTCATAAACTAGGAATCACTTGAAATTAGGAGCTGGCATATCATAAAATCAACCAACCCAACTCACTTGAAATTAAATGTTTCATCTTACCATATTAGTTTCATGCAATTTATGTGTTTGTGTATATGTATGTAGCAGATCTTCTCCACCATATGTGGAGTCATTATGATGTCATCTAACAATATGACATCACCAATGATCATACATGATCTGCCATGAAATGTGTGTTGAGATTTTATTTATATATATATATATATATATATATATATATATATATATATATATATATATAAGCAAAAAAGGACGAAAGTCTGACAATTATTTTAATATATTTATTATTTATGTTATTTTTATTGGTACAAATATTTTTAAAAAAAATGATCTGTTTATAAGAAACAGTATTAACATTTACTAGCTTGAATATATATATATATATATATATATATATATATATATATATATATATATATTCATTGTGCTTTTGTAAAATGCACTAAATATAGCCACAATTTAATCTAAATATTTTGTTTTATATTACTGAAAATAAAAATTTTAAAATAAATTGAATGTATAAGTAATGTAAAAATAAACAAAAAAATAATCAGTATGTTGGAACCTTATAAATTAGATAATACAAATTTACAATAATGAAAATACATGAAATAAGTGGTTCTAAAATTTAATGATGCTTATAGTGAAACTCTAGCATGTTAATAATCTAAGATTTGGAAATTAGAATTAATGTTCATCCAGTATTAATGTATAAATATGGGATCTGTTAATAAGTTCAACAGATTTTATCAAATATCTGACCTTGATGAGTGTTTCAACAGAAAACTGATCTTCAAAAATTTAAATGCAATGTCAATTGTTATCTTCTGTCTTCTTTAATGACTTTTCTTTTAATTCTCTCTCTCTCTCTTTTTGGTTTTTTTTTTTTTTTTTTCCATATACTCTCTAACACTCAGTAACTCCTTGTCTTGCTTGGGATGAAATGATTAAAATTTTATATAATATATTGTGTTGTGTGTGTGTTTATATATTGATGTAATAGGAAAGAACAGGTAGATTGATGATCCAAAGATCTTTTAGTTTTGTTTGTATTTTAAAAAAAACAAAAAAAAACTGTACTTGATACAGAAGTAGAGCTTAAATTATAATAATTTTAAAAAAAAATATAATTCCATCACAACACACAGCGATGGAATCATATTTAAAATATATATATATATATATATATATATATATAAAGAAAGGTGTCATCCATTATAACAACTGCACATTCATAGCATAAAGAAATACCCGGGTAGAGGTGCATGTGCCCATATTCTTGCTACAAGTAAATGATTTTTAAACAATTCCATGTTGACCCGCCTGAAGCCATATTTGCTCTGATCTATGGAGTGGACACTATACAATGAAAAATTTATAGCCTGGTGGTGCCCTAACTTACCAGATTTTCTTGTGTATAATTCAACCCCATATTTCTGAAACTAAAAACTGGGAATAAATTACATCAGAAACTACTGTAGCCTCAAAGTGAGGGATAGGTAGGTTTTTCATGTTTTGTTTTTTTTTTTTCCGTTACATATAAAGGAAAACAGACCACTTTAAGGTTCCATTATAATAATTTATTTCACCAGAGCCCTTTTTAAAGAATGCTGGATCATCAGATAACACTTCCAAAAAATGAAACGAAAGATGAAATGAAAATTCATACTTTTGATGGGTAGTATTAAGTTTATGTAATTTAACAGAGAGGGTAGCGAGGAGTGGTGTGAGAGAGACATGGTCGAGTTTAGAGAGGGTTTATTTTAATATTTCTTTCAATCATACTTAGTATTGGGGTCTGGTCCCTCCTCCCCCAATACTAAGTATGATTGAAAATACCAGATGGTCTGAATCAAATTGAATGTTAAGTTAATCTGTGATGACCCCAGTATTTACTGGGTCCACCCGAGATGAGACCAGAATAGACTTTACACTCAGTGTTACACTAGAGCAGTGTTTTTCAATCTTTTGCTACCCATGGTTATTTTTCTATTTTGATATGGTGTAGATTAATGTAGAAATTCCAATTCTTAGTTGTTACTGTTCTGAAGTGACATTGCTCTATGGATCCCAGTTAAGAACCACTAAAGTATCTGAGAAGCCTGGTCTATCAAGGGTTAACTCAGAAGATGACCTCTCAGTCACCAGGTGCATATTCCCGCCTTCACTAGATGTCACTGACTGCCTCCAAAATGTAAACAAGTTGTTGACCCAACTATGCTTAAGACGTGCACACATGGGACAACTGGAGTACTCATGACAGAAGAGGTAGAATCTCTGACATCCTCAAAAGAAGAAGAATCCATGTTTGGAGAAAACTCCAAAAGCCACACACTCACTTGCTAATATTAATTGACAGTCCAGAATTGGATAAACTAATTTTACCAATGAGTGATTTAGTTTTTCATTCTTATTCATCTATGCAATAACATTACACTATAATTACTTGCTTAAGATTTTCTTCCACTGGTAACCAAGTGCCTCTGATTATTAGAAATATGGTTTTTATGGGTTTTACTGATATATATATATATAAAACAGACAACATTCATTGGTTATAATTTATTTTCCCAGGTATATGGTTTTTACCTGGTTCATCAAACTGCACTTCGAGAGGTGAAAAAATGTTTCAAATTGTCATCCACAGATTGTTTCGCTGTTTCACAGTGTGTGTGATTTGGCATCAGTCAGATTTTCCCCATAAGCCATTGGTGCCTGGGCGAAATTTTAAAATCTATATCTACTTCTCAAATTCATCTTTCCTAGGAGTTTCAGTGGCTAAGGTATTTGTTATAATTGTTATGCCTATTTAAGCTCTACACACAGTGTGTGTGTGTGTGTGTATATATATATATATATATATATACAGTCGCGTCCAAAACTAAGGGACAAAATTTTAAAACCTAATATTTGTTAAAAATAACAACTGTGAAAAGCTGAAATTTTGACAACTGGTATTCGTTATCATCCATAATAACATACTAAAATTTGAATCATTTGCAATGGATAGAAAAAGAATTATAACAATTATTTATTTATTTTCAAAATAGGATCGTCCAAAAGTAAGGGACAAAATTGAGAAAAACAATGTAAACAGTATGCTATATTCAAATTTTTTGATTTCCTCTAAAGAATAAATCTTACTTAGTCATTTGTAAACATTGCATCAGCCGGCACCATGGCGAAATACCAAAAACTTGATTACTCTGTGAGACAAGCTATTGTGAAGTTACACAAGGAAAAGCACACCATTAGAGAGATTTCAGAGAAAGTGAAACGTTCCAAGCGTGTTGTAGGCAGGGTTGTTAAATCCTACAATGATACTGGCAAAATAGTTAGTGTTTTTAAAACCGGCAGACCCCACAAAACTTCGGCAAGAGAAGATTGAATAATGCAGCGTATGTCATTAAAGGACCGTTTTAAGTCTTGCACAGAAATTAAAAGGGTTATGAATAGTACCTCATGTGTTAATGTGTCAAGACAGACTGTTTGTAGACGACTGCAAGAAATAGGGCTGTTTAATCGAACCCCAGGGAAGAAACCACTTGTTAGTTCGAAGAAGAAGAGATTAGAGTTTGCAAACAGGTATGTAATTTGGACATATGAAAATTGGGCAAAAGTATTTTCAGTGATGAAAGCAAGTTTAATTTATTTGGAAATGATGGAAAAAACAATGTAAAGAGACGTATTGGTGAAAGATTAAGTGCAAAGTGTACTAAGAAAACTGTCAAGTTTGGGGGCGGAAGGCATGGTATTTGGAATGTTTTTCTAGCCAAGGTACAACGCTTCTTGTCCGGTTACAAACTCGTAAACGCCAAGAGATCTATAAAAACATTGTTCAAGATCATGTTGTGCCAATCATACAGAATTCAGGTTTCGATAGGGCTACCTTTATGCAAGATAATGCCCCATGTCACAAGGCAAAGGTGGTAATGAGTTACCTTAGCGAGCAAGATTTGGAAATTATGGATTGGCCACCGCAAAGTCCTGACTTAAATCCAATAGAAAATCTTTGGAAGACCTTAGGAGTGAAAGTTATGGAAAGAAATCCCACTAACACGGAGGATTTGTGGGTGAAGCTTCAAGAAGAATGGTCTAAAATTAGTATCGAGGATTGTCAAGAACTAATTCATTCTTGTAGTCGAAGATGTGCAGCTGTCATTGAGAGCAAGGGCTCATTTACTAAATATTGATTGTACATGATTTTTATTGTTTTTTTGACGTTTACATTGTTTTTCTGAATTTTGTTCCTTACTTTTGGACGTTCCAAATTTGAAAATAAATAATTGTTATAATTCTTTTTCTATCCTTTGCAAATGATTCAAATTTTAGTATGATATTATGGATGATAACGACTACCAGTTGTCAAAATTTCAGCTTTTTCACAGTTGTTATTTCTAACAAATATTAGGTTTTAAAATTTTGTCCCTTAGTTTTTGGACGCTACTATATATATATATATATATATATATATATATATATATATATATATATATATATATATATATATATGTTCAGTGTTGACCTCAGTGTCCACTTTTATATTTACATCTGCTCTATCCTTAATATTGAGCACTTTTACCCATAAATAGAGCATGTCTTAAAACTATATTTTTATCAAATATATATATATATAATCTCAAAAAATATATTGTTCTACCACTAACTCTATCACAACTACAATTGAAAAGAATTTCTCTAAACGGAACATAAAATTTATCACAACTATATCTAAAACGATAAAAGACTTCATCAATACCAAACAAAAGAATGTGCCAAAACTGGAAGAAGAAATTTACTCTATCACCTGCAAGGATTGCCAAAAACAATGTATTGGAGAAATTTAAAAGTGGTGTAAGTGACATTTTTAAAAAGCTACACATTAGACGCCTTAGTTGTTCACCATAACAAGACTGGCCACAATTTTGACATAAAAAATGCTAATCTAAATAAAAAAAAAAAAATAGTTCACTAAGACAAAAAAATGTTTACAAAGTGCTTTAACTTTAGCATTCTTGGTAGATCTTCTGTTATCACAATGTGGGAGATTTAATAATAAGATTGATGGGGAAAAAAGCAAAAGAATCTGAATGAAATTGGCTAGATTATATATCCTAAATATAAAAATTTTTTTTTTTTTTTTTCTAAATTTAAAATTCCAATTTCCTGCCAATATATATAAATTGTGTGTATTTAGGCAGCATTTTTTCATTCATACATGTTTCATTAAATAATATAGACAAGTGTTGTCTATTTATTTTATGTAAATTCTTTTCATAATGTCTGATAAGCTGCGGTGCGATTTTCACTTCTAGCATCTTATATGCACAGGTTTATCATTGCTAGGAAATCATCCATGTAAACAATCACAGACTATCATCACTGTCTTGTCTGTATATTGCTTAATATGTTGTACAGTAATTGACATCTTTGATAATGGCTTATGTAAGCTGAAAGCTTAGATTGGATTAAAAAAATATGGATCAATATTGTGATTTTCTTTCTTCATTTAATGATAATGTTATTAAGCTTATCAGACGTTATGAAAAGAATTTACATAAAATAAATAGACAACACTTGTCCATATTATTTAATGAAACATGTATGAATAAATATATATATATATATATATATATATATATATATGGAAAACCTTTACTGTGACGCATTTCATCATTCAGGACTTCATTGGACTAAATCTGTTATGTTGATACAACTACACATGCACATTAATGAGGAGTGCTGGGGATTTTAGAATGGAGGAGTAATTGCCTGTAATAATTGTTACAAAGATACATTCGAGAAACTTCTTGGGATATATATAATATGCACACACTTTTTCAAATGACTCCTTTGTAGAGCGAGGATTTTTAATTCAGTGCTTAATTTAAAAAAAAAAAAAAAAAAAAAGAAAATGATCATAAGGAAACTGATGTTCATGATGTTTTAACCACTTTTTGTTTATAAATTGTTTCTTTTCATGTTTCAGCTGTGTCTACAAATGCGTATGTAAACAATTCTCGGAGAGGCTGTACACGGATCTGATCAATCACATTCGTTCACATCTCTCACAAATAGATTCTCATTTACGGGAGTGTGTAAGTCCAAAATTTTTGTTGTCATCTTTTTTTCTTTTTTTTCTTCTTCTTCAACAGTAATTTTCAATTCCACTTCACATTCAGTGAAACAATCCACTCCCCATACACTTTTCTTAAACTACTTCTTCCTGGAAATATAAAGACAATCAGCAATAAATTTTATTAAAATTATGAAATATTGCCTGATTTTTGTGATACCATCCAGTGTTCCCATGACATTTATGATCTTTCACTGATTACCATGAATGAACATTTTTTTTTTTTTTTTTTTTTTTTTTTTTTTTTGTAAATCAAATTGACCCCCAAACAAGGCAAGCTACTAAGACACAAGGGGTTACCGGGTGTGAAAGAATTAGAAAACAAAACATTATGAAGGAGCAAGAACAATAGAAAAGTAATCGGGAAGACAGTAGATAACAATTGACATTGCATTTAAATATTTTGAAGTTATAATAGTTTGTGTGCACATATATTCACAAGTATTTGGTCACCCGTGGATGGTTTTTCAGCTACTTTCCAATGGTGCTGAACTTTGGGATCACCTTTCCAGGTTGAAAACCTCAAGGTCACCTCCTTGGCAAATCGATCATAGTGAAATTTGAACTGAGATCTCATGGTCAGAGAGTGAATGTTCTAAACACTCTGCCACATGCCTATTCACAAATGAAATTGGGGAGGTGAGGTGTAACTATTCAGAATTCGTCAATGGTTGTGATGGCACAACGCCACAAGTCATCGTGACCGAGGGTTGGAGCATACTGGCATTGTTCAAACTGCTGACCATGCTAGGTTATGTGCTCCCTCCCAAAAACTGTAACTATGAGTTGCTGTATAAAACACAAGTTGATCTCTAGGTGTTGAAATGGGCCTGAGCAGGCGCCTGCAATAGGGATTGGTTAAATGCCCTGGTTGGGTAGCTTTGGAGATTGTATCTGACCATCATCATTATTATTATTATTTTCATATGTTATTTCTCATTAGTTTAAACATTATATTTTAGTGAATAAACATGTTGTAACATGCTGTTATTTTTGTCTTTTTTTTTATTAAAAAAAAAAGAGAAAAAAAGAGTGTCTACTCAAACATATAATATATAGCACACACACATACCTCTATCAGGCAGCATTTAAGCTAGTCAAGTTTAATATATATATATATATAATGTGAAAAGTGTATATAAATAAATATATATATATGTATAATTATTTATATATTATATGTGCGGTACTTATTAGAAAGCACTCAATATCAGAGACAGGGCTAACATATTATCACTGTCTCCAATCCCTTGCAACATTACAAATTTCTACCTGTTACATATACACAGTCACCAAAAACAAACAAATAACCAGCTTTAAATATAACAAATAAACCCCAATTTTTTTCAAAAATTTAAAAATAAATATAAATAATAATAATTTTTACCTATCATAATTTTACGCAGACCCCACCACACGTGTGTACATACATGCGAGGAAATATTCAGCGGAAAAATACATAATATGACATGTATACATTCACGAGACATTTCCGCCACACTTCCAATCTTTAAATTTCAACATTTCAACATACAAATGCATATGTATAGACACAACACCACCCGTATACATACATATGTCATATCCGAAACTGCCCACATATGTTTATATATGTATGAGTCCCAACAGACGACCAAGTATGTATATGTGGCTGCATACATTGATGTTTGCGTTAGTACGATGACATAAGCAACGAAATTTTCCCCACCACTTCCACAATAACACCAATACACGCAATCTACATAAACCCAAATTTAAAAAAAAATTAATCAGTTTGTCTGACGATCGCTAAAGCGTGAAACCCAGGGTCACAAACTCACATCTATCCAACCAAATAAATATATATATATATATATATATATATATATATAAAATTTGTCACTTAGCTGATTGATCTTACTTTTAACATCTCAACTCTAGAGCTTCATAGATGGATCCTTCAGAAATAACACTGTCTACTCATCAAGGAGGGGGTTGTCAGCAATTGATTGTTTATATTTTTAGTTTGCACTTTTCGTTGGTGTAAGTTTTTTTTTTGCTTTTTTTTGCATATATATGAAAATAATAATAATCAGTTACAAGTTTCAAACCAACCTTCCTACTAGGGTGGCTAGTCAATCCATGTAATTGTGTAAATTACATCTACCAGTCAGTCATTGTGATATTAACAGCAAAGGTAAGGCCATTAGTTGAATTGTAAATAACAACTCCATTTCTTACAGTTTACATCTGATGAATGCTGAAGATTGGCTTGGCTGAAATGTCTTGTTTATCTTGATAACACAAGATAACAAGAGTTCATTTGTTCAAAGAAAATTTGGGAAAGTCAATGAAAAGAACCATGACATTGCTACATAGTTCACAGAATTAAATAATATTCAAAACAAGACCAACATTAGTCTGAATTAGCTGAAGAACGCTATTGTGACGGGGGTGGCACCAACAAAGATGAAAGTTTATTTTTAGTTTTTTTTTTTTGTTTTTTTAATCTTAGATTAACTACTCATCTCAAAATTTGAAAAGAATTGTTTTTTTTTAAATTTACTCTTGATTTGTCTATTTTCAATTAAGCTGTATAAAATCACAATGGGAGAAACTTGCCATTATCAAAGTTTCAATAGAATGAGTATAAAAATTAAGTTTCACCACAAAATACATGATATGCCACAAGAATGAACTCATGTTTTTTGGTAAAAACTAATGAGTTTTAGGCAAACTTGAACCTTTGCACCCACAAAAAAATGTAATGTCAAATGGACGGTTTTTCCATTGACACCGTTTCTATTTTCATTTCTTTCACTCTTCGGCAATGTTTATTGGATTAAAAAGCAATGATTACAAGTGTAATAAAAACTAAACATAAGAAAATGAATTTGTACATTTTCTTTGTTCTTGAGAATTGACAACAAAAATAATGATTGTTTATTGAAAGGTTGGCAAAACATTGAGCCAATCGAATCAAACTTTATAAAATGATAAATAAAGATTCCTTATAGTTCACATATTTTAATAATTTAGTAAATGTTTATAAATTTATGAATAAAAAATGTTTTCATATTTATTTCTTTATAAATTAGTAAATGATAAAATATTACACTACTTTTAAATTTGTATTTTAAAATTGTATTAGTTTTTAGAATCTTGTAAATAAAATTATTCTTGGAAATAATTAATCTAATAAATAAATAAATAGTGTTTAATATTTTTGTTGTCAATTTTCAAGAACAAAAAGAAAATGTATAAATTCACTTATTTATGATTCTGCTTTAATCATTGTTTTTTAAACAATAAGCATTACCAAGGGGTGAAGGTAGTTGAAATAAAAGCGGCAACAATGGAATTTTTTTTTTTTTTTTTTTTTTTTTTTGACACTCTTTTTGTGGGGCACGAAGGTCTAAGTTTTCCCAGTTTTATTTTATTATTTTACCATGTCTTTATAAACTGGTGACATTACACTTTAGTAAGATTAATTGGTCATTCTATTTTTTTAATTATTAACTACATTTTTAATCAATTTTTTTTTTTTTTTTATATATATATATATATATCTCTTGAATTTTATATTTAGCTTTGCTAACATGACTTAATGTAGGTACCTTCATGAGATTGCTAAAAAAAAAGAGCATACCATGATAAAAAAGATGCCAAACTTGACGAAAACAAAATTTTATCATCTAAATGTTTATTATTAAGAAGAAAGACCAAAGTATTTTTTAATTATTTTTAAAAAATTTTTTCCTTCTTTTTAGAACATTCTAAATTTTGATTAAAAAAACTTTTTCTCTTTGTATCACCAGAACTAGTAAAATAACAATTTTTTTTTTTTTTTTTTTTTTTTTTTTTTTGTATGACAGACATTGATTTGAAAAATCTTGCAAAAAATAATTGTCGGATATTAATGAAACTTTCAGAAACTATTCACAAATGATGGAAATTATTATAAATATTTTTTTTCTTTTTTTAAAGTCATGGCAAAAATATTTTTTTTATATTTATTACCCCCACACCCCCAATTAATTTTATGAAAACTCTAGAAATTCAACATAGTTCAGTTTAGTGATTATATTAGTTAAAAACACAAGGCTTTGAGGAAAGCAAATCTTTTTTTTTTAATTGGACCCACCAGAAAATCAGCTCTGAATTATAACATACAAAACTCAATAAAACAAAGATATTATTTAATTTCAAATGTTTTTATTTGCTTTTATGAATATGGACAATATTTTCTGACAACAAAAAACTTTTTTGATAAAAAATGAATTTTTAATACAAGTATTTGTTATTTCTTTAATTATTTTAGATTTTTAAAATATTATAAAATTAGTTGAAATCTGCATTCAGTTTCATAAATGTCCTTATGAGATTGGTCTTTTTTAAATTGTATCATTTCAACCAATCAGAAGACCTGCAGTAATTAAGAAATGTAATTTTGTGTTCATAATATGGCTGTGATTATAAAGTACAGAAGATCAGCAAGAATACAATTACGTCGCATTATTTGAGTTAAGCATTGTTCTCCACTGTTATGGCCTTTATTTTTGCGAAACACATGTGGAAAAGTTAATTTGATTTTTCAATTTCAACTTAGAAGGGTACCTACAAGTATTAGTATAATCTTATGAAATTTATATGATCTTTTTATATTAATCTCATTTATGACATTTTTTCATAAATGAAATATCAAAATTAATAATAAAATGAATGAAAATACAAATAACACAGTAAAATGTAATAACTGTACACAAAATTATAGTATTTTGTGTACACTTCAGATAAAATTTCATAAGAAAGATACCTATAAATTAATTAGATACCTTTCTTATGAAATTTAATCTTACTCTCAGCAGTCTTATTTTATTTTTTTATAATATATTTTCCATAAAGCATCGTAAATAAAAGTTAAGTACAAAAAAAAAAAATTAGCATGTTGAAAGTTTTCCTTAAAAATAACAAGGTAAATAATTTGTTCACTTAAATCTAAATAATTATGTCAATTCTGTCCTTCCGTATGATAACTTTTCCTCACGTAAGCTGTCAATACCTGATGAAATCATCACTCATCACCTGTCAAGTGACGTGAAATGTTATGAGCTGCTTTGTTTTATTTTTAAACTACTTTTTTCGATGCAGAAACTAAGTAATGCTTGTTTCAAAATATTTTAAGTAAAGATTATAATTTCTAATTTTCTTAAAATAAGTTTTGAAAAAAATGATAATTGATATTTAAAAGAATTTGAAACTGAGATTTTCATTTTTTTTTTATAAAATGGAAAAAATGGTTGACATGATTGATTATCTGTCAATTTTGCTGACTCCAAAAAAAAAAAATTTTTTAATAATAACAAACATTTAGATGATAAAATTTTGTTTTCATCAAGTTTGGTGTCTATGCTCTTTTTTTAGCGATCTCATGGAGGTACCTAACTTAATGTATTACAAATAATTTCATTTTTGAAGTGTTTCGCTGAAGTTAAGCAATATCAAGCCCAGTCAGTACTTAAATGGGTTACCGCTTCGGAACACTGATTACTGTAAACACTCTCCTACAAAGCGAAATTTGTTTTATCTTTAAATAGCTCACAAATGGTTGATAAGTCATAAGAAAGAAATCAAATCAAGCAACCAATGGTTGGGTAAGCTCTGCTTCAATAAGATTCAATAATTGGAAAGCTAATCCAGCCATTTTACACTAAACTTACCTTTGGTACTCTTGCATACTAAATACAAGTGCCAACACAAATTATTTCCGTTGTACTCCACTCACACGAAAATGGTGTTTTATTTGGTATGTCAAGCTTATTTTTTCAAAACATTTGACATTGCTGTTATCCAAACAGACATACTTTATTAAACTTTTATAAAAATTTGTAGCAGAACATTTATTTTATATATTGAAAAATTCCCACTGGCATAACGATTCCAGGTGGCACTTGTATTTAGTACACAAGGGTACCGTAAGTGCAAACAAGCCAGACTTTTGCATGTTATACAATAGCAGAGAAAACAAATTTTGATGAACAGAAAACTAGTTTCCCATATGTCCAAATTAAAAATTGTTTGTTTTCAAGACTGATCAAAAATTCAAAAGCATGTCTACTTTCATATCTCATTACTTCTCTTTTTTTTTTTTTTTCTTTTTTTTTTTTTTTTTTTTTTTTTCCAGCGAAATGATTCCACTGCATTTGTAGAGCAATTTTCCCTTTTAATGAACCAATATTTACAAGCTTTGACAGGAATTGTGCCGATATTCAATTATATGGTGAGTACTCTTAATTTTGTGTGTTTTCTATCTTTTTGTGTTTGTATTTTTTGTATATTTTGTGTGTGTATTTTGCATGTATTTTTTTGTATATTTTGTGTAGTTTGTGTTTTTTGTATATCTTGTGTTTTGTATATTTTGTATGTGTTTGTGCTTTTTTTTTTTTTTTTTTTTTTTTTCTAAAGTGTAAGAAAAAGATTTAAACCAGATTTAAATATATTTCCTGGTATAAAGCACACACGCCTATAATTTTGCAAAGAATATTGAGAAAAAATTATTATTCAATTGATATTAAATTCATACGATTGATAACATCAGATGATGCACTCGCTACCCAAAAATGTAACTAAAGGTTACTCATCATAGTTGGAGTATAAACCACAGGTGGGCTCTGTGGGTGTTGAAGAAATAGAAATGTGCCTGAGCAGGTGTCTGCAACAGGGATTGCCCTGACAGGCATACTTGGATACAAGCATTCACTCACGTGCAATTACCCCCGGGAAAGGTATGGATCAACCTCTTTTCCCCCAGCTATGGGTTAATTAGTAAAACCTGTATCACTTAATCATTATCTCCAAAAAAATTCTTCAAATCTAAAAATATTTTCTGGCCTTGAGTAATCTGCCAAGGGCTGATCTGACCAACAATAGCATAAAAAAAGAAGTCCGCAAGTACTCCTGGCAGGTCCTTCATGTTTACTGCTTCACTTTCCTTTCAGGCTTTCTTCCGGGTTATAAGCTGCAGATCAGCAATAAATAATTAAAGGGTTGATAACTGACATATAAAATCATTTTTGATATCACAGAATATGTGAATAAAATTAAATGTCAGATAATGTGTATACTATCACTTCAGGGACTGTTACATAACCAAACATGAGAATTTTTCTTCTTAATTCTTTAAAAACCAGAAACGCCCAAATGTGCCAGCAGGTTTCACATAGAGCACCCGACTGCTATCCACAATTAGGTAGAGGGCAGTGCTGTATTTCATTACACAAATTAACACCTGTCAAATGATCAACTAGACGTGCTGGAAATCTACAACATTTACAAAGTTGTGGATTTCCAAAACCTTACCTCATAACCAGTAATACCAAAACTGTTAGCATAGAACTTTGGTTACATCTAGCAATTTCATCTATAAAATGAGACCTAACGGCCAATCTAGTAATGCACTTAAATTCATAAAGCCAAGGTACCAAAGAGAAAAGCTCATCAGAACAACTATCATAAAAATATTTATAGAAAAGGCACAGGAAAGCTAGATTACAGTGGAGAAAGTGACTGAACTGATTACCAGGTGGAGCCAAACATAACAGATTCTGAACTGAAGGTGAAATGCCTGACAGAAGCCAGGCAAGATGTTTTGTATTTTGATTTTTTTTTAATCTTTCACTTTGGAATTTGTCAAGATTCATTGCATTTAAATTTTTGAAGATCAAAGTTGGCAGGAAAGCATGGAGCAGGATGATAGTTTCACAAGCGAGAAGTGCAAGAAAAGAAACTGTTAGCATAGAACTCATGGTTACGTGTAGCCAATATGAAGAGTTCATCTGAACAATTACCATGAAAGTGATGACAATATTCAATGCCTGGATGAATGGTAGACTTATAAAGTGGTGTCACATGTGCTACAAAAGACTGATCAATATTCAAAAGCATGTCACCCAGTTGAATCTAGAAACTCTCTATAACTTGGATATAACTTCTTTTTTTTTTTTTTTTTTTTTTTTTTATTTTTTTTTTTTTTTTTTTTTTTAATTTAAGTTTGTTTTCAATTATCTGTTCTTCCTGGAAAGAATTGTCACTGATTTCCAAATATTGTTTCCTTTTTTTTTTTTTAATTTATTTTTCTTTATATTTTTATTATTTATTTTTAAATTATCTTTTTATCATTCTTTTATTTATTTATTTTTTTTTAATGTATGTTTTCAATTTTCTGTTCTTTCTGGAAAGAATTGTCACTGATTTCCAAATATTTTTTTTCTTTTTTAATTTATTATTATTTCTGTGTTTTCACTTGCAGAATAGATTTTATGTTGAAACTAAATTGAAGACTGATCTAAATGACGAACTTCGGAAGCTTTTTAGTGAAATTGTTGTGAAGCAACACATTTCTACTTTATTAAGTAAGTCTTCTTTATTATTATTACTTTTTTGCTGTTGTTATTGTTGATAGTTTTCTCCAAAATTCTAGTTCAAGAAATGACTTAACACAATAGAAGATTATAAACTACTAAAACACTCATAAACCCAATGGGTCCCTTTTAAAAGAAGTTCTAAAATGCCTTTCAAGTAATAGTAACCCTGGGGTGACAAATTATAACAATTTTATTATCTACCACATTATAATGTTCAAAGATAAAGGTCTCCACCTCCAATAAAAGAAACATCAATAGTCTTCTTAGGGAGATTCATATTTATTGAAATAAAGTATGGATGCCTCCTTTTTGTGCACTTAGTTTTTTGGGTTTTTTTTTTTTTTTTTTAGGTAAATTTTTTTAAATTAATAATTATATTTTTCATTATACATATTTGTTTCTTCCCCATATTTATTTAAAAAATGGCAGCAAACCAGCATGCATTTATTTATTGATTTACAATCAAGTCATGTGGCACAATTTCCCAACAATACAGATTACAGTTTACAATGACACACCCACATAGCATCTTCACCTATCAAGTACTTGCCAAACGTCTGAGATATTTGAATATAAAAAAAAATTCTTAGGACTATTCTCCTCATCTTTGTCGCCATATTTATTACAACATTTTGGCCATTGGTTGCTGGGACATTAGGTTTATAATACCCAGAAATTCATACATAGATGTCCTCAAGAACACATGGCACAGTGGATAAAGGCGTTGGTTAGATCCAGTGACAGGACCTAAAGAGTGTAAGGCAGTGGAGAACTTTCAGAGGGAAATTAACAGGAGATAACTGATAACTATTAAATATAGCAAGTGGAACTAGAACAGTCTACAGTGAGCAAAATAAAGGGTTCAGTTCGACATTCCAACCACCTGAAGAAGGCTGGAGCATACAATGGCCAAAACGTTGTGATAAATATGGCGACAAAGCTGAGGACAAAAGTCAAAATAATGTACATATATAATTTATATAATATATTTACATAATAATGTAAATAATGTACATAATACCTCATCTCAGAAATATAGACAGATAAAAAAATTCTAATGTAGTGTAATGAATTGTATAAATATATATTGTTTTATGCATAATTAAACTTATTTAATAATGTTATTATAATGATTTTTTAATATTTGTTATTCTTCTCACACACACACACACACACACACACAATGGTTGAAATATAATATGCAAGTGTTTTATATACACAGATTCATATAAGAATGCGTATTGATAACAAATACTGAATTTTTCATTAAAAATGGAAAAACGCCTCTATTTCAAGAACTTCTCATCTAATTTTAATGGAATTGGCAGGGGTTCAAGGTACAATATGCCCCTAAAATTGGTTGGAGTATTATGTATTATTTAAGCAGTATCTCTAGAACGTGCATACATACAAGATTAGAGTTTTGGTATTATATAGAATACTAGTGAAGCACTCTGTAACACGGACAGACAAGGTCATCTGTCAGGACACCCCATAGCATCCACACACTTCTTTCTGGTGCTGTTTATATGTGTCATCATAGGGGTTTTGGTTGCACCATATATTAGGAGACATAAAGCATTACTCCATTTGACTTGGAATAATTAGGTCTCATCCATTGAAAGATCTTTTGCATGACACCATTGCAGTTCAGTGCCACAAATTTGGTCTGCTAGATTCTGCTATTAACCACATCCAACATCCTGCTGCCAATGTCTTCACTGTAACTATGGCAGGGATGGCTTCCAGGTGCTACACGTTGCCAAAGAGCAACCTGCAATTTTGGTCATTATTTTTCCTAGGCTGGTTATCAGCCATGGATAGAGAACTCCATCTTCCATGCTATTTAACCCATAGCTGAAGGGAAAAGAGATGGACTCATACCTTTCCCAAGGGTATTTGTGTGTAACTGAATATAATGAAATTGACTGGAATTCAAACTCGGCTCTCTAATTTCTCATTCCAGGGTGTCATCCATTACAGCACCCACACCCAGTAAGCAACAATATATACATTTTCTTTAAGAAGACTTTTGATCTGTAGGCCAGTAAAAATTAATTTCACTATCTAAAAAATAGATGGCTACTCAAACATTTATACCTCCTAAAAATAACATTTATAGTAATAAGAAATAATGTTCATTATTTACATTATTTGGACTATCCTCATCTTTGTCACCATATTTATTACAAAGTTTCAGCTGTTGTACGCTCCGACCTTCTTCAGGTGATTGGAATGTCAAACTGAAACCTTTATTTTGCTCACTGGGGTAGACTGTTCCACGTGCCATGTTTAATGGATGTCAGTTATCTCCTGTTAATTTCCCTTTGAAAGTTCTCCACTGCCTTAACCAGGTATTGAACTCCCACTCTTTAGGTCCTATCACTGGATCTAACTAACACCTTTATCCACTGTCATTGAGGACATCTGGATATGAATTTCTGGGTATTATAAACCTAATGTCTTCAGCAACCATTTTTTACCAGAGCTCATATTGCAATTTTTGTTGTTATTATCGCTTTTTCTGTGGCACTCCTTATTACTGGTTCCCATATTGTATTCATTTCTATGCTTGGTTGGCTCAGAAGCGAAATAAAGTTTTCAGTTCGACATTCCAACCACCTGAAGAAGGCCGGAGTGTGCAACGGCCGAAACGTTGTAATAAATATGGCGACAAAGATGAGGACAATAGTCCAAATAATGTACATAATATCTCATCTCAGAAATATAAACAGATGCATAAATAATGTTGTATTAAAAAATGCAGTCATAGCTTAAAATTTACTTCATTTACATTTCTGGTGCAAAAATAAAGCTAGCAGACATAGACTTTGAAATGTCCCAACAAGAGATTTGCATTTTGTTAAATAAAGTAATTGAACCTTGCTTTGCTGTAATGGCTTCTTGTGACCAATTGGCAAAGCACACCTGGTGTTGGTTCCAACCCATGATTGCAAAAATATTCCCCTCCATAAATTTATAGACAAATCATGTATGCTTGGATTTCTTTCTAGACAATAAGATAGATCAGTTTTCGGTCCCATCTGCCATATTCTTGTTCTTTCTTGTCTTTAAGTCAGAACACTGCGATCACTTGTCTGTATTCCTTTTGTGTGTAACACCATTCTTAATTTGTGAACTTTTGTCCTCATTACTGTTGCTTTGTCTACTTTTGTCTTGCATATCTTTGCCCTGATCTCTTCTTTCCTTTATTATTGTTTATTGGAAACTGTCAATTCTGTTTGCTGGGCACTTGTGCTAATTATATTTAACTATGACCAATTACTCTACACCCAGCTGGTTGCTCAGATTAAAGAGAATACAGATTTAATTTCTTTTGAGAAGCAAACTTTCTTTAACAAGACTTTCGATCTCTAGGCCAGTAGATATTAATTTCACTGTTTTTAAAAACCCAAGTATATCAAGCACATGTACCCATTAAATACAACATTTATAGTAATAAGAAATAATTTTGGATTAGATTATCCATCAATTGCTTAAGAATTACTCAAGCAACAGGTAAAGATTTTTCCTTTTGGATGATGGTGTTATACGGACCAATTCAGTGTTGATGATTTTTTGCTTTTCTCAGACCTTGATAATTTTTTTTTTTTTTTTTTTTTTTTTTTTGCAAAGTTTAACGTTTGTTCTTGCAAAAAAAAATGGCGTTTCAAAAGGACAGTTATTCTTTTGACATTATTACTGTATGCACTTTTGACTCCCTCAACAATGTTTATTTACAAGACTATATAAATATGTGAACCAAATACAATGTGATATTTATTATTTACCATTTTAGGATGAAATAAATATGAAAAATCTTTTTATTTGGAAATTTAGGATTAATGCAAACAAAATTTATCACTTAGCTGATTAATGCTATATTCAGCATCCACTGACTCCAGAGTTTTGTAGACTGATCTTTTTGTAATCATTCTATCTGTTCATCAGGTTTCAAAAATTGGCTGCTGATTTTTCTCTAGTTAAAAATAATTTATAATTTATGTGCTAAAAAATTACAAAATTACCAAAGTAGATGTAAGGAAAGATAAAATCACCTACCTTGAAAAAGAATTTGTGTTTTGTGCGTGATCTGCTGAAGTAGTTAGCAAAAATCTGCTACTTTAAGGATCAGAGAAGCTATGCTAATTTTCTTTCCTCCCTGAATAGTGTGTCCAAACAGGAAAATCCTTCAGTAAATAATGGTTGTTGTTTTTTGCTTACCAAGAGAAGGATTGGTAGGTGAACTTGCATTTCTGTTGTTGCGAAGTGAATGTTGGATTTCTGACCCTGTTTTTCATTACTACTTGCTTGAAATTTGTGTTGGCCCACGGATTCTTTTTTGGTTCTACTAAACTCTTTGGTTGATACCCAAACAGCTGAGTTAAATTAGCTACAAGTGCCACAGACGAGAAAGACGGAAGCAACCAATTGTAGGCATTAATTGCTACAATAAGTATACAGTTTTATTTTTTTATTACAACACAATATATAAACTGACTACAATGCAATATTTGTGTAAAAATTACGAACATTTTGTAAATTATACGCAAGGAAGACTTTGCCCATCCAATGAATACCAACTCAATATGTTGAGTGTTTGTGGTCTTGCCTAAAATCTAAAATTATAAGGATGTTTGGCTCAGAGGAAAAAATGCACTCAACCTATTTTAGTGAATTTATATGGTGAGAGCAAATGAAAGAAATGTCCAGAAAATGTATCCTTTCAAAATTTATTAGTTACTTATTGCTGCGTTTATGTAAATTTTTTTTTTTTTTTTTGTTCAGAACTTTTTGTAAGTTTATGAATAAAACAATTTTTCGTATCCATTTCTTTATAAAATGGTAAATAATAAATATTTCATTATAGTTGGTTTATATATTTTTATATATAAAATCATTCTTTTAAATAAGCAATCTAATAAATAAATAGTGTTTAATATCGTTGTTGTCAATTCTCAAGGATAAAGAAAAGGTATAAACATTGTTTGGTTTTTAAAATTTTAATCATAACTTTTTAAAACAATAAACCTTGCCGAGAGTCAAGTGTATGCAGTTATAGCGGTGTCAAGGGAATAACCATCCTTTTAACACGCCATTTCTTTTTGTGATCACAAAGTATTGCCAATTGTTTTAGGATTTTCTCTTAATGGGGGATGGAAGTTGTGTAATAGTAACAGACAAACCAATATTAATGCTTTCTTAAATGCTTTTCTTTGGAATTTATTTTATGGGGAAAGGTAGAATTTGGTTTTACTTGCAAGATCTTTGATGGATATAAGAACACTCTTCCCAAATATTAGAATTTCATCTTCTATATGCTGTGTCCTTTCATGATGTTGGCAATCATGGCTCTCCACAACTTCCTGTCCTCTATAGCTCTTAGTAAATATTTTTTGCTATCTCTCCTAATCTCTGTTCTGCCAACCAAGCTCATTACTTTCCTCTCTCCCTCTTGCTTTCGATATGTCTTGTGAGTATCAAATTTTCTAAGCCCTCTTTCCTCATGTGCCATAGAAATTTCAACTGTTTCTTTCTGATGTTAAGTATAAGGTTTTTTGTTTGTTTCCGTTTTTCCCTAACATTTTGTTGTTGCTCACGTGTTTGGTTTGTGGTTTTCTCAGCATCTGTAGATCTACAGTTCTGTTGTCTCAAGTCTCTTCTTCATCTGTGAGGAGATTGTCCAGCATTCACTGCCATATATGAGGACTGATATTACATAATAATTCAGTACTCCTTTCTTTGTTTCTAATGAAATTTTCCTGTTTCTTAATATTTTTCTTAGCTTTTGGAAGGCACCTTTGAATTTCAGTGTCACATTTTCCATCCTCTGTTAAAACACTTCCTAGCTATTTAAGTTTTTGTACTTGTTTGATTTTAGTGCCTCTAATTTGTAGTTTACATCTCAGACTATTCCTTTTACTGACAGCCATACATTCTGACTTCTTACAATTGATGTTTAGTCCTTTTTCTTGCTTTCTTTTACTATTTTCTATAGGATTTCCTGTAGTTTCTTTTGTGTCAGCTATCAACACGGTGTCATCTGCATATCTTATGTTGTTAAGATTGTGGCTACCAATAATAAAATCTGGTAGGACTTGTAATTCTCTCAGGATTGCCTCACTGTAAAGGTTGACTAAGTCTGGTGAGAAGACAAATCCTTGTCTTACGCTCCTTCTAACAAACATACAAAAAGAAATTTTATTTTGATTTGGGCCAAACAGGGAACATAGTTAAAATTTTAGTAACATATACTCTCCAACAATTTTTTCTTAATGTTTCTTGCTGAAAGGATTGGGTGGGTATATGTGTAGTGATAGAAAAATAAATACTAACAAGGAGACCAAAATTTCACCATCTCTTAAAATAGATGTTTGTTCAGAATCACCAGGGCCACAAAGCCATATGTCAACCATCCAAACAAGACTTTCACAACCATTATGTATGACCATGAGTTAACCAGAAGTGGAGCGGTACTTTTAAAGCAGATCTCTAAATATGTATATAATGAGATGGAAGTGCAACCTGAATCAGAATCAACAAATTCATTTTTTTCCATTCTCCGGTGATGCAGTCATCATAACATAATCAGACGAAATATGGCACTTGTGCAACCCGAGACATCTACACCATGCTGCTACATTTACAAACATACATACTTGCGTAAACCACCTTTTAAGCAACTTACTGCTACAGTTGAATACATACATACTTTCCTTCACCCACATTGTTAAGTAGGTAACTATTACATTATTGGAGAGAGACACACACATATATATAATATAGATCAAGTATGGATAGGAATCCAACAAAATGATAGGAAAATGAACAAATAGGAAACAGATCTTAATCAAACATGTTTCACTTTATGAATGCTTCAGTGGAGATCAAAATAGAAATGATAAAAACATGATAAAAAGCAAATAGATGCAGATTAATTGTGTGTTATGTTTGGTTACTTCTTACTGGTTAGATACGTGTCACGTGTAATGAATCAACAAATAATATTCAAATATGTGTGGCAAACGTTCTGGATGCTAAAGTGTGTAAAAGTCACACTGGGGTGTTTTGAAAAAATTTTGTTTTGGTTGGAATTTTCATTAAAGCATATCTTGTATATATTTTGTGTATGTATATATGTGTGTGTGTGTGTGTGTATAATATATATATAATATTGATTGTTATGTATTCGAAACAGATAAGTTACATTCAGGAATAATGGATCTGTAGAAAATGATGCAATGTAGTTTTTTAGACATGAGTTAATAGTTGGTAGTTGACATTAAGGCACAGATTAATTGTATATTGTGTTTGGCTATTTCATTGCTTAGATATGTGTCACATGTATTGAAGTAACAGATGATATTTAAATATGTTTGGCAAACATTCTCACCGCTAAAGTGTGTAAAAGTTAGTAAGATGCAGTAGGGAGCTTTGATTGGATATGTGTCATGTGTAAGGAAGAAACAGATAATATTCAAATAAGTGTAAGAAAACATTCTGAATTTATTTATTTATTTATATATAAAAATCCATATATATATATAAATCCACACGATAACCAAAAACGTTTGCAATTTCTCTCTTCTTTTTAAAATATACACTTTTCTCTCATTGGAACAACTATAACTTCTTCCCTAATATTTATTCACATTCTCTTGGACTCTCTCTCATATGCACCAGGGCATTTACATATTCTTATTAAAGCCATAATAAAACATTTTGTATACATTTTTAAAGCCATGATAAACATTTTGTACCCTCTACATATTTAAGTCATAATGTTTCAATTGGTCATAAAATAATTTACCTTTTTTTTCATTTTTTTCTTTTTCCTTCCAAATTCCTTTCAGCCTTATTAGAGGAGGCCCTGTCTGTTCCCTTCACCATTTCACCCCCTGTGATGGCAAGCATTATTAAAAATTTGTATTCTTTAAACCCAGGTAATGTAAATCTTTTTACTTTGGAGATTTCTTTTCTCAAATGAAGTCTTTATAGATGAGGATAGACACAATTTAAAAAATAAAAAAAAAAATGGTTTTAGTTTTTGAAAATGGAAGTAGAATGTAAAAATAAAAATGACAAGAGCATTGTGAGAAATAACAATAAGGTGGAAAGAGAAATTTAATCCAGGTTGTCCAAGAATTAAATTTCTATTCCAATGAAAATGGAAAATTTAAAAGAAAAAAAAAACTGACATGATTTTATGTTTATTACTTATGATACAAAGCAAATAGATTTATAAATCTTATGTCAAAACTTTATTGAAAATTTTCAATATGTGCCACGTCTGCAAATTTCAAATCTCTCCTTAACGTTGTGAAGCACATTTTGAAAGAGTTAAGTTTTTTTTTAAGGGTTTTTTCCCTTTGCATTGCTTACTGAATGTTTCTTTAACTCAGCTAAAGTAAACTATTGATCTTTTGGCAATAAACCGTTGTTTTTATGGAACCCCATGCAAAGATATCCAGGAGGAGGAGTGTCAACAAAGATGTGTTTTGCATATTCATTATTAATAGGGTTCTGAAAGGGAATTAAAATAAAATTAGAAAAAAATAATAAACAAAATTATAGATTTATACAAATATTAAACATGATAAACAGTGAGTTTTTAAAAAATTGTCCAATTTCACTGAAATATATTGTTAATTCTGGGACAATATTAATAATAGCAATACTTTATGTAAGAAATTTGGACAACTTTATACTATTATGTCTACTACTACTGCTATTAAGGTATAAACCAGACTTTTACAATTAAAATATGTGAAAGACAACATTTATTGCAGAAAATTAACTGTAAAAAGAGAGGCTCTTAATTGAGCATTTAGCATCTTCAGGAGTTTGAGATTTCCTAAGTCTTTGCATATTCGCAGCATTAGAAGCTCTCTTGGTTGCCGTTTGATCTGAGTTTTCATTTGCACAGGACTTTCTTTTCCTCGCTGCAGCCATGGCTCTTTTGATTGCAATCTGGTCTTCCGTTTGGCAGAGATTTCTTTTTGTGCAACTGCTGCTGTATGCAATAGGGAACAATAAAGAAAAACTCAAAATTGATCGCTGCATTTAAGTATTGTATTAATATTTAAGTTTGCCTTTTAAAAGTTCAACAATAATTCTTCTGCTGCCACTTAATTTAAAAACAGATGTCTGTAGATCCTTACTTTCTGTACAAACAATTATTTTTATTTCATGGGTGTCTTTTGCTGGATTTCACAATTATTATTCCCAATTTTATTTCCAAATTATAAAAATTATCATACAAAAAATTTGTTGCAAAAAATCGTGGAAAACAATTACAGTAATGAAAACTTGGGAATCTCAAATTTCAAGATTGTAGGTCTGGATCCATCCTGTAATGTTTTTAATTTGCCCCTGTAGTCAGCCTGATTCCAAAATGGTATGACATGTTGGGCTACAGCCTCTAGGAGTAGAATTGAAAAAGTCTGACGCACTGACATTCATCTGATTTTTATATATATATATATATATATATATATATATAAATTACATACACAGGAATTTAAAACTACTCCATGGTGATGATAATTTCAACTCACAAAAGCTCTCTTTGTGGATCAGTTTTAATAGTTTACATTATTATAATTCACTTGGATTATATACCTACAGATGTTTACCTGTGTGTGTGTGTGTGTGTGTATATATATATATATATATATATATATAAATATATAATTATATAATATATACAGAATGAATTCCAATAACCAACAATTACTATTCTTAAAAGAGTGCTCAATACAAAGTAGAGCAGATATAATTATTTTTTATAAAAAAAAATTATAACATAAATATAAAGAAAATCACTACAAAAATAGCTATTTTTGTAGTGATTTTATAACATACTTATGTTATAATTTTTTTTTTTTTAAAAATAAAAATATATATATATATATATATATATATATATATACACTTATATACTATAATGATAGTGGAGCAGTCCATTTTGACAATCATAGTCTTTATCAATAACCAATGTGGTGCCTGTGTGGTAGTTAAAATTCCTTTGTTTACATCCTGGTATTCTTTGAAAAGATGAAAGTTTGAAATAATCTATGGTGACATTATGTGTAACAATTATTTTGTTTGTTTTTATTTAATATGCATATATTTATATATCATATACACTTCAAGATACTATCACCTGTGTTGAATGATATTTTATCCAATCTTGACTGTTTATTTTGTATACAATTTAGCTTCTAGGGTTTTGAATCTTTCTCTACACTGGGTGCTGTAGAGTATTTTGGTATTATCCACTAATATTTGTTGATACTTGTATTTTGGTTGTTTGTGATGTGCTAGTTGATATGTGTACGGATTGCACCAAGGTTTGACAGGTGACAAGTCAACCTTTGAGAGAGAGTGTGGTTCATGTATGCCTGATGTTAAAATTTAATGCTGTTTTTTATTAATAATGTTGGAGATACAATCTCCCAGTGGACATGAGAATTCATAAACAGCATTATTTTAACACCGGGGAATTTTTGATATTGTTGGTAGTGAAATGTTTTTAACTTTTTATAGTAGATGATAAATCTAAGATGTTTGTTCAGATCATTATGTGATACATAATGGCAAATTATATTTTTAATTGCTTTTTTATCCTGTTTATAATTAGGGTGCAACAATAGAATAAAGTAATGGTGTGTTTGTTTTTGTTTGCATCAGGGTGGCATCTTTTATTTTTTAAAATTTCATCAAGACTAATTTTATTTATTCATTGACCATTTGGTTAGAGAAGTTATTGTTGATTAGAGTTTGGTGAATGTTACTTGATTACTTATAGGATGATGTATCTGAAGAAGACATTATTTTGGCCAAGTAAATCATTGTTTTTTTTTTTATAACACTGTTTTTTGTATCTGTGAGTTTCTTCTAGTGTATTTATACTTTTTTTTTTGTTGAAGTGTTAAAGTTATGGCTGTCAGCCATATATATATATATATATATATATATATATAGAAGCATGGCTAATAAAATAATACACACATACACTTAGATACCTCCAAATACAAACAAATATAATTTAAATACAAATATACACATTTAATATGTAGGAAAAATGTATATATATATATTTTTAATATATTACTATAAACATTATTTTTAGTAGGTACATATGTTTTAGTTGTTTTCTGTTTTCTTGTTAATGAAATCAACAACAACCTGTCTAAATTGAGAAGTCCTACTAAAGAAAAACGTGCCTCCTTTGTTTAATAAAATAAAATAAATGGCAAATCAAACATGTCTACCCACTAAAAATGATGTTATTACTATAAATGTTAGATAACAAAAATTCCTTTCAAATATGCTTGTGTGAGGGTTTGCTGAAAAGATTGCTGCCTCACTCGCTTTCCAAAATGTGATCAAACATCAGAATTTGTCAGGAGAGGGAATTCCTTGGCTGGGCCAAGAAATTTTCAGCATCTGTGTTTGGATGTTTGTGTCTGTGTGATTTTCATAAACTTTAATTATTTATTTCTTGCATTTTATTGTAGATTATGCTCAGATGAAACCTGATGTTTTTGCCAGATATATTCCCAACATTCGTCCCCCAACTTCCATAATGGGGCTGGAAGACTACAAAGCAGAAGCCAGACAAATGCAACAAGAATTGCTCCATAACCCAGAATTCAACTGGTAAAAATTACTCCCTTTTTTCATTTTCAAAAAAAAAAAAGAGAGAAAAAAAATATCTTTTAATCATCCATAGAAAAGTTTAACACTTACATCTGCCTAATTTTACATATATTGCCAATAACTTAATAAAGGTTCCACAATTTCCTGTCCTTAGTAGCTCTTAATAAGTTTTGTCTTTTTGTGATCTCTCTCAAACCCTGTTCAGCCATCCATTTGCTCAAGCTTATTTTTATTCTTCTTTTATGTTCCATGTCCCTTCGGGACGTTGTCGATCATGGCTCTCCACAATTTTTTGTCCTTTGTAACTCTTAATAAAGTTTGTCTTTGTTATCTCTCCTAAACTCTATCCCTCCATCCATTTTCTCAAGCTTGTGTGTTGTTTTCTTCTGTCTCTCTTGCCTTCAATCTGTCCTGTGAGTATTAAATTTTCTGAGCCCTCTTTCCTAGTTATGAGCCCTAGAAATTTCAACTGTTTCTTCCTGGTGTTAAGTATAAGCATAAGCGAGCTTTTTGTTTCCATTTCTCTAAAACTTTGGCCATATTATGTTGAAACACAGTTTCCTGTACAACCACCAAAGCAATGTCAACCCTGGTTAGTACCTAGATGGGTAACCACTTGGAAATACCAGGTTCTGTAAGCTTGGATGTGTGGGTGATGTAATCATACTTATTATAAAACCCAGGTTGTGTGTTTGTTCATTTATATATTGGATCCGGAGTATAAATGTATAGAAACTTGCATGTTCACGAGCGAGGGATCAGTTTATATATTGATTGTAATATAGAATTCATCCCCCACTTTATATCCACATTATTTCTTGTTTATCAAATTCTGATTAGGTATGAATTCACCTATGCTCCTGCAGCTATGAGTTAATTAAGACTTGTATCACTAAACCATTATTATCTCAAAAACAAAAAATTCTTGTACTCTACAAATATTTTCTGGCTTTGAATAACCTGAAAAAAAAAAACAATCAATCAATAATAAACGTTCAAGCAACTTATCTTTTGACAGCCTTCAAAGTTTTGGATTCATACTGCTCATCAGGGTCGGATAAATCTGTTGAATTGTTACCACCAGATATCATATTTATATGCTATATGAGAAATGCTAATCATGGATTCATAGCTGTTCAGCAAGATTTCTGAGTCACAAACCATTATACTACCTGAATATCTAATGATGTTACTATCGGAATGCATTGTCAGTGGTCAGGAATAAATGCAAGCATTACTGATAGAATAGGGCTATTATATGTATAATGGAAATGCATTGCTAATGATTTTACTACAGGAATGCATTGCAAATGAGGAAGAAAGGGATTGTCAGTGGTCAGGAATGAATGCAAGCATTACTGATAGAATAGGGCTATTATATGTATAATGTAACATTAATATATACAATTTTATAAAATTTTGTTGACTTTCTTCAATTTGTTATGTTTATTTCTAAGTAACTCCTCCAAAAATAAACACCTTGTATTCTGCCCAGCACTAGACATTTACCATTGTCGTATTTGTCTCTCTTTACAGCTCAGACTCCAGTCGCAAACGCCGCAGTGAAGAAGAGATCCCAAGTAAGTAGATGTGACTGCCGACCCTCTGATACTGTTTTCTCCTATGACTACTACTCCTTGTGTAACACGACTATGACTCGACTGTGTGACATGACCCACATGTCTGTTATCTATTTGTCAAGAGGTGCATTCATTGGTGTGTATTTTCATTCACTGGCTTTCCTTTTTTTTTTCTTTACACATCTCTCCTTTATTAATATTTAAGGTTAATGAGTCGATTTTTTTTTTTTTTTTTTTTTTTTAATAAAGATTTTAGAGTAACTGAATGAAATGCAAACAAGTATTTAGTCTTATAGCTGAATTCATTTGGACTGCTGATGGAATAAAATATAATAAAATAATAATAGCAATAATGAAGCATGTATAGAGTGTTGGGATAAAAAGCAACAATAATAAGATGGAATAAAACTACTAATAAAATAGTAATAATGAAGAGTGTATAGAGACAGTGTTGAGATAAAAAGCAACAATAATAAAATGGAATAAAACTACTAATAAAATAGTAATAATGAAGAGTGTATAGAGACAGTGTTGAGATAAAAAGCAACAATAATAAAATGGAATAAAACTCATAATAAAATAATAGTAATAATGAACAGTGTATAGAGCCAGTGTGTTGTTAAAAATCAGCAATAATAACATGGAGTAAAACTTGGATTAATAATGATTGTTGAATGGTAATTATTAAAACTCGTTGCTAAATTTTTAATAAGTCTGTGTGATATTTTTACCTTAAGTTCATTAGTTATTTTTTATTTTAAAATTCATGCAGAATGGGGAACATTTTTTTCTCATGTTGAAAGATTAAGATATTCATTTATGAATTATATTCTTTGTTTTATTTTCTACAAGTTGAGTCTATTTCTACAACCATGTCATTAATCTATCATACAGCAAATATTTTTCAAAACAAAACTAATTTGTTTACAAATTTACCAGTAATCTTTCTGACAATTCAAGTAATCAGCCTCTTTAAAGAACATCAATAGAGGTTCTTTGAATTTGTTTTTGCAATTATGAGATTTCTTTATTCCTGGTAAGATAAAATCAAAACTGGCATAAGATAAATGCTTTAATGCCAAATAAATGTGAACTCTATCCTCCCTGGATAGCCTATATTTGTGGTTTTGTCTGATGGTAATCTCAGCAAAGATCAATATGAAGCTTTTTGTTTTCCTTTTTAAGATCAAGCAAGATAATTCTTGAACCAAAGTTAGAATTTTTTTTTTTTTTTTTTTTTTTTTTTTTTTTTTTGCAGTAAATAGCATTTGTAATTCCTTGTAACAGGGTTATAAAATGAGTTGTTTATCAATCAGTGTTACAATGGGAGTGTTGAAAAGATCACAGCCCAATCGAGAAGACCTGCCAGCATAAACATCTTGTGTTTGATCATTTAGTCAGATTTTGGGGAGTAGATCAGGCAAAGAACTTTTTCAACACCAACCTCCTATATTTCTCTTTCTCTTTTGTGTGTGTTTCCTTCTTTTCCTTCTCGTCTCGTTCCCTCTCTCGTCTCCTGTCCCTCCCTCTCTCGTCTCTCCCTCTCTCCTGTCTCCCCTCCCCTCCTCTCTCGTCCCTCCCCCTCCTCTCTCGTCCCGTCTCGTCCCCTCCCTCCTCCTCGTCCCCTCCCTCTCGTCCTGTCTCGTCCCTCCCTCTCGTCCCTCCCTCGTCCTCTCTCGTCCCTCCCCTCCGTCCTCTCTCGTCCCCTCCTTCTCTCGTCCCCCTCCTTGTCCCTCCCTCCCTCTCATCTCCTCCTTGCCCCCCCTCTCTCTCAAATTTAAAAATTAAAACTTTTGAAGGTTATTTAAAGCAAGACACACTCTGCCAAATAATGTGAAAGGGAATTTTTAAAATTATTCTTTTTCATCTTCTGTACTGAATAATCAACCACCAGTCACGTGATTGATCCCACCATCTCATCCTTAATAAGGAGAAGAATGTTTTCTTCATATTTTCATTATATTTTATATTCTATCATTTCCAAAAATATAAGTGCTCTTAAAATTTCTCTTTTGTTTTCTTTGCTTCATCTCATTCTTATGACAGACCAATGTCAGACATGTCATGAAAATTTTGAACAGCAACATCACACTGCAATCATTTTTCTTCTCTCCTTTTTCTCTTTCTCTCTCCTTTTTCTCTTTCTCTCTCCTTTTTCTCTTTCTCTCTCCTTTTTCCTTTTCTCTCTCCTTTTTCCTTTCTCTCTCCTTTTTCCTTTTTTTTTTTCTCTCTCTCTCTCTTCTCTCCTTTTTCCTTTTTCTCTTTTTTTTTTCTCTCTCTCTCTCTCTCTCTTATTTTTTCTCTTTATGGACTGGTCTATATTGATGCAGTGCTCTGACATTTCTTAAAATCAAGGGATGCTAGTCACAGTATCCAAATGTTTTCTCTTTTTTTTTTTTTTTTTTTTTTTATCATTTTACCCCAAGCAAGGCAAAAAAGTCACTAAGATGCAAAGGTTTTCTGAGTGTGAAAGAATATGAGAAAAAGCTTATTAAAAAAAGAGGACAATAAAAGAAGAGGAATTAAGAAAACAGAAGATTATTGATTGACATTGCATTTAAGTTTTTGAAGATCAAAGTTGACTTGAAAGCAAGAATGCTTAGGGTGAAAAGACTAAAAATGAAAAGATACGTTTAAGTAAAACTAAACTTTGTGATGAAGTCTTGAAAACTATACTCCTATTTACATAAGTAGACATGTTTTGGAAGATGTAAAAATTTGCCTCTAATTGGGAGATTTTTAGACTAATTCTTTATGTTGATGTTATTGTTACCAAATTTTAATTCTTCTGGACGACAGTTTTCTTGTCGTTTCTATTTTCCTTAAAACTATGCTCCCATTTATATAAGTAGACATGGTTTGGAAGATGTGAAAATTTGCCTATAATTGGGAGTTTTATTGTATTTTATAATTGGGAGATTTTTAGACTAATTCTTTATGTTGATGTTATTGTTACCAAATTGTGATTCTTCTGGCTGACAGCTTTCTTGCCGATTCTATTTTCCTTAAAATGTCCTCATTGTTCACATATCTTAATCCATGGTATTCTCAGCAGTTGTTGGAAGAAATACATCTCTGTCACTTCACATGTATTCTTCATCTATGTGGAGATTGTCTCGCATTCACTGTCATAGAGATGAAGAAGAGTCTTTAAAGTGACAGAGATTTGGTTCTACTCATGAATACTGAAAATACCATAGAAAGAACATGTAAGCAAGAAGGAAGTCTTAAAGACAATAGTAACAACAAGCAAAGAAAGAGAGAGCCGGAAATTTTAGGGCACACAATGACGAAAGAAGGCCTAGAGAATTTAACACTCTCAGATCATACTGCAGGCAAGTGAAAAACTGCAAATTAACTACTTAAAAAGTTTTTGTGAATGAATAAGCAAACAAAGAGAGGTTAAAAATTGCTTAGAGCAACAAAAGACAGGAAATAGTGGAGAGCCATGATCACCTACTTAATGAGATTGTGTGAATGGTTAGCAGGACAAAAAGGGATGGTAAAAAGTTAAGTTACTTAAGCAATAAAAGTCAGAAAGTTGTGGTGAGCCATGATCACCTACTTAACAAGTTTGTGTGAATGCATAGCAAAAAAAAAAATAAAGAGCGATAGCAAATGGCCAGAAGTTACTTAGAGTAACAATGGACAGGAAGTTGTGGAGAGCCATGATAACTCATGTCCATTGTCCAGAAAGGGCATGGCACATAAAAGTAGAAAAGAAAGAAAAAAAATCTTGAATGAATGCATTTGTCTTGAATAAAGAATACTTATAAATTTGAATAAAATAATCTTAGCTTTGAATAAAAACGATTAATTGAATAAAAATAACACTAGGTCAATACAGTTTTGAATCATCCCTTATCAACATTATTGAATGTCTTTTAATTATTTCTTCTTTTTTTTTTATACAGGGTGTGGCCAACCATCTCACTGAAAACTGACTCCCTTCATGATGTCCTTGAAGGCTGTAGTAGTTGGTCTTTCTTTTAAATTTTTTTTTCCCCTCATTTTTTTTCCCCCCCGCAAACCGGTCACTCAAGGACTGTCCAGTATCTCTGCAGTACCTCCATCTTTAGTCTCTGACAACCACTTTAAAATGACCCAAACAGTCCAACACCAAATAACCACAACAGGAACATTTCCATGCAGTTTACCGCCATCAGCATTGCTGTCACAGTTACCCACCCCACATCCTTTGGTCAGTCAGTAGTCCAGCTGTGGACATAAGAGCAGAGAGGACGCAGATAAAGGGTCTGCCAGCAATAAGTTTGACCACCTGACCAATTAGTTGTAATAATTGGTAAAGTAGTAGTCACTTAAGAAAGGCAGTGATCAGTCCTGTTCTGCCATCTTTTGTCATTGTATCAACAGGGTTTATTTTCTTGTTTCCTGGCCAATGACTATACCTCAGAGGATGAGAATCAAAAAGACTGGCAGATGACACACACACATGTGGTGAAAATCACAAAGATTAGTACAACCATTTTTTTTTTTTTTAATTAAATCCTGTATTTTTAAAATCAACAACAACAAAAGAAAAAGATAGCTAGTTTTCCTAATTTGAAAAAAAGTAAAAAAAACGTTGTTTTTCATTTAAAGAACACTTTATTTTTATTTAAAGATGCCTCAATTTTTTTTTTTATTTGAGAGGAAAATAACTATTTTTTACTACACTTAATTTTCATTTAACAAAAAAAACAAATACTTTAGTATTTTTCAAAAAGGTAATTTGTATTTTAAAACAGCATTTTTCAAATAGAAAGTATTTTTTAATGCATTGCATTTAAAAAAATATACTTTCTATATGAAAACTGTTTTTCAAGTACAAAGTATTTTTAATGCTTTGCATATAAAAAAATATGCTTTCTATATGAAAATTTTTTTTTCAAGTACAAAGTATTTTTGAATGCTTTGCATTTAAAAAAAAATATACTTTCTTTTTGAAAAAAGCATTTTTCAAGTACAAAGAACTTTTGAATGCCTTGCATTTTTAAAAGATACTTTGTATTTAAAATACTTTGTATTTACATTTTAAATACCTTTTTTTAATGATTTGTACATTTAAATACTTTTTTAAACACTGTATAAAAACGTCTTGAAACCTGCTGATTACAACAAAAAAAAAATCACATTTTTTCCCATACTGAAAATTGAACCGTGAACATTGTTGCCCACTTGCCAACAGACATGTCATGTTTAAAAGTACAGTGGAAAAAAAAATATTAACACACCACCCCATAAAAAGATATTCTTGTCTCCTCCCACCCAGTCAGCCATGAGCAATCAACCACACAGAAATACTCAGAGAATTTTCTTGTTTCAAAGAAAAAGACAAAGTAAAAGACATATATTTTATTTATTTTTTTTTTATTTTTTCCCATAAGTAATGTATATTTAAGGATTGCTTTGTTGACTACATTTCAAAGATCCACCCAGCTTCTGTAGCAAAGAAATAAAGGAACTCTTATAAATAATAAGAATAATAAAAATCTTAAAATGCAAATTTCTTGTTTTTGTAAGAAGACTTTTTTCTACATCGAACTTGAATTTGCCTATATTTCTGAGATTGTAACTATTTACATTGTTCAGACTGTTGTCCTCATCTTTATTGTCATATCCGCAACGTTTCGGCCATTGTATGCTTTGGCCTTCTTCAGGTGATATATGTTGGAATTTTGAATGAAACTCTTAGTCCATGGGGGGTAGACCATTCTAGTTACATGTGCCATGCCCGAAAGTTAATGTCTCAGTTAATTTCCTCAAATCCAAGATTTTCTTCACCTCTACTGTGGGCAGGTATTGAACTCACAACTCTGGGTCAAGTCACTTTTGGATTATTTCAGTCAACTCTTTTATCCACTGGGCCATGTGTTGTGGATATGACAATAAAGATAAGGACAACAGTCTGAAAAATGTGAAATAACTTGAATTTGTTTCTTTTTTTTTTTTTTTCTTTTTTTCATTTTGATTTTTTTACTTGAAATTTTTTCTCCCTCATATTTGTTTTTTTTTTTTTTTTTTTTTTTTTTTTTTTTTTTTAAAGTTTTTTAAATTTTGCATGTTGCTTTTTTCTTTTTTTTTTTTTTTCCCCGACCCCCCCACTGATTGCAAATAAAAAATGTTGAAAGGGAGATGTACTATTATCATACTGTTATTAACAGTAATTTGTGATTGTTAATGAAGTATAAGTAAATGGCCATTAGTACATCAGGCTGTTTGTAACTGTTTAGATATAGGAAAATATTTACAAGAGATCACTTGATAAAATGTAAACAAAACTGGTTTCCTTTTTTAGGGGATGTGTGGAAAGAAAACATGATATAGAATTGGTTTTATTTTGTTTATTTTGAGCTTCTAAGAATACAGTAAGTAACAACATTTCCAATAACTTCATCTTTATACAGGATGAGATAGGTAAATTGTCACCATTTTATATTTTTCATTTTGAATATGCACATTGTTTGCTTTTCATTTTCTCAACTGCATAGTTGGGCACTATCAGTGAGAAAAAGTGCACCATGATGCAATTCACTCTGTCAGAAATTTGGAAACTGCATGTTGTACTGCTTGGCATTCATGCTGGAAGCTCCATTATGAACATTTCAGAAGTTTTGGGTGCAGAGGATTCAACAAGAGTTGGATTAATCTAATGGTGATTACAAAGGTGTTTGGAGTAATCATGAGTGATGGTGATGTTATGACTCCATTCTTCTTCCCACAGGGCCTCAGACTCAACATTGAGTCCTATATCAAGTGCCTTGAGGAGGTAGTGCTGCCTTGAGTGGCTGCTGGACTGGCAACAGGACTCTGCACCATGCCACACAAGCAGGAGAACCCTGTCATGGCTATCAGACAATTTCTACGACCACATCACCTTTTACATCTGGCCACCTAACTTCCAGACTCCAGCCCCCATGATTATTATGAGTGGAGCACTGTTAAGTGAGAGACAAACAAAACTCCTTGTAACATCAACAATGAACTGAAGGCAAGGATTTTGTCAGCATTCACCAATTTAAACAAGGAGACCATCCAGAAGTGTTGCAGGAGATTGGAGGCTGTGATTGAAACCAATAGCAATTTTACTGAATAAATTTACTCGTTAATATTTCAAGATATTTTTGTAATTTTGGTAAATATATGTGTTAAAATGAGATGTCAGTGTTATTTTCATTTTTGTGTAATTTAGATGACAATTTATCCATCGCAACTTGTACAATCAATAAGCAGTCATCGTATACTACAGGTATAGGATAAATTCATGAAAATTCTTTATTTTTTGACCTCATTTTATCTAAAAGTCACCTTTTT